CGCCGGCATTTCTGTATGAGCTGCACTGGTCTGGATAAAATGACAACAAAGATGCTCTGCCAACAAAAGTATCACAATATTAGATTTTTCTGTAATGTCTGTGATTCTCCAACGTTAAAATATCTTCACGATAAAGTGTCTCAGCTACAGAAAGGCCAAATCCCTCTGGAAATTGTAGAGGCTCTGGGTGCATGTCTTAAGAACAGTGAAAAACTTCATCCGGTCATTTCGGAAATCTACGACACCTTAAGCGCTCATGATTCCAGGTGGAGCGACTTATCCAAGAAAGTGGATGACATACACAACCACCATTCTGAGTACTCTGAGAGTGGACAACAATCTCTATTCCATTCAATTAGGGAAATGAAACGAGACTTGTGCAACATTTCGTCGATCTTCATGGACGGTCATGATGAGTCTATAAAGGTTCAGGTACATGACTCTTCAAAAGAAGAGTTAACAAGGGAAATGGCAGATTTGAGGAAATGTGTCAACCAAATGGCGCTCACGTTGGAAAAATTAGCAGGCAAGGAGAAACCGTCTACTAGGAGCAGCCCGCCACCTGTAAAAAAGTCAATTACAGCGTCGATTTCAACCCAGACCGATAGTGAAGAGACATCCCCTGTTACGCAAGTGGTCATTGATTCCCGAGTCTGTCCCCCACCTCAGAATTCCGCCCTAAAAGAAAACTGGCATTATGTGGTAGTGTCAAAAATCCCCCATCCTTTTACAGCAAAACAGCTTGCTCATTTTGTAAAGGAAAAACTTGGAACCACGGAGTTTATCAGATGCTTTCCAATGCTCCAAAATAAAGACTGCTCTCACACTGATTTCAAAGTTGGCGTTCAAAACAAAAATCACCTAAAGCAGCTTTTGGACAGAAGCATGTGGCCTCCAGGTACGGGTATAGAGACTGCTAATTCATCTGCAACACTTTTAAAGGCATCGCCACCGTCGGCAGCAATTACAGTAGATCCACAGCATCAGTCTCATCATCATTTCAAACCCAACACTGCGGAGGGCCGAAGTAGACCACTAAACTCTGACTCAACCCCGATTAACCCGACTAAGGATGATAAAACTATCAGGATTGGTTCTGAAAGGGAGGCTATAGCTGTTTCTAAGTCCCTGGCACTAGACAGCACAAAAATTGTTATGGATACAAGTAGAAAAAAAGATGAATCAATCATGGACCCGATGACTCCACCCATTGTGCGATTATCGCGAGCTTCTGATACAGCTGATGGTCGATATTTATTGGCTAGACTAAGAGACCCTGCCATTCTTAAAGCTCTTAGGCTATTCCTGGCTTATCTCCATGACCAACCATCCACCGTGTGTTTTGATGGGCACACTAACACCAGCATCAAATTAATGTTAGCTTCGGAGGGACTTCCTAGTGACTTGGACTCATTGCGGAAGTTATATTTCCGTTTCCACAACGCGTATGGCATTGGTCTGGCTGAAGTTGACGCTGATCTCTCCGCCTTCAGGTCTTACTTCTCGTCCGAGAAACTTCTCCGGTTACAGAATATTAGGGAAAGTCAGAGCAAATATTTCTCTCGTGGCTCTCCACGTAATAATAAAAATTTTTAGATAAGGTGACGCGACCAGAGTATCAAGCACCCTCTGTAAGGTTGGACGATGGCAAGCTTAGTGTATTTCTTATTAATATTCATTCTTTAAGACACAAAACAGATGAATTATTTCTTTTATTAGAAGAGCTTAATTTTCCAGAAATCATCGCCATTACTGAACACTGGTTAAATATGGATGAACCTGTGTTTGTCAAAAATTACACCTCAATAGCTAGATTTAATCGAAGTAATTTATCTCACGGAGGCACTATGATAATGTCCACTAATAATGACTTTACTGCAATAACCAAGTTTGATAATTTATTATCGGAAAAAATATTTGAATTTTCCATCGTCTATCATAGTGGTTTTGACCTTTATATTGTTTGTTTATATCGATCACCGGACACAGACGCGCACATGTTTTGTCGGAATTTGCTGAGCTTGCTTGACTCCTTGCCCTTGAATTGCAAAATAATTTTATGTGGTGACTATAATATAAATTTTTCCTGTGTGTGCGCTGCTCAAGAATCTCTCCAGTCCATTTTCGACTCCTTTGGGATTGTGATGCATGTAAACTCTCCAACCAGAATAACCAAAACTAGTTCTACTACCATTGACTATGTCGCTTCATCTTTTGATCCAGAATTGGTCAACTGCTCTATTTTTAGTGCAGGGTTTTCTGACCACGAAGCAGTATTAACGAATTTCTCATTGAATTCCTTACGTAAGGGTGCTTCCCGCAAATTGGGCAGAATATTTTCGGATGGAAATTTTTTAAATTTCAGTCAACTTTGCTTATCAGTTGACTGGGTCGTCCACTCAGATGATGTTGACTCCGAGTTCTCTAGATTCATAAATACCCTATCTGACCTGGCGACCAAATCCTTTCCTCTCAGACCCATCAAAGTCAAACGGCATAAACCATGGTCGACTAGTGGCTTGCGTACTTCTGGAAAAAATATGCGATCCTTGTCTCATCTAAAAAAATTCTCGGATAGCGTCTTCTTCAATGATTACGTAAAATTATACCGAAAAGTCTATCAGAAAACCATAAAAGCCGCCAAAGACATTTATTATAATAGGAGGCTGGCAAACTCCAAAAATGTTGCAAAAGAAACATGGTCAATTGTTAATGACTTGAGGAATAAGGCTTCTTCATCTAGCAAAATTCCTACTTCACCTGAGATCCTTAACGATTACTTTGTTGATGTGGCTAAGAATTTAGTGAATACCTTAACTCCTTCCCAGGACCCACTTTCATATCTCCCGAATGCTAAGGTGAACTTACACAGTTTCTTCTTCACGCCTGTAGTAGTTCCAGAGCTTCGCAGTACAATCAAAGATATTAAAAACAAATCTTCATCTGGGACTGATGGACTCACCCTCAAAATGTTCTCTAATCTTCCTGGTCGCACATTAAAACATCTTACTACTCTGATCAACAAGTCGTTTCTAAATGGAGCTTTTCCAAACTGTCTTAAGATGGCGATAATTATCCCACTGCATAAGGGAGGTGATAAGGAGCTACCTTCAAACTATCGCCCCATTGCACTCCTTCCTACGCTATCAAAGATCATAGAAAGATTGGTTAAAAAGAGGCTTCTATCATTTCTCTCTAAATATAATATTCTAACTACCAGTCAATTCGGTTTCCTAAGTAACAAATGTACTAATGATGCAATGTTTTCCCTTTTCAATAATGTATACTCCAGCCTGAACTGCCACCACTCTACAGCCTCAATTTTCTGTGATTTCTCCAAAGCTTTCGACTGTGTTAATCATAATATCTTAATTAACAAATTACAGTTCTACGGTTTCAGAGGAATGGCTCTCGAATGGTTTAAGTCTTATCTTGGTAACAGAAGTCAGCTTGTGAGGGTGGACTCGACCATGTCCTCTTGTAAACCAATTGAATGTGGTGTGCCTCAGGGTTCAGTTCTTGGCCCTATTTTGTTCCTGCTATTTATTAACGACATTGCTAGTCTGGATATTAGCGGCAAAGTTTGTCTCTTCGCAGACGATACTAGTTTCACTTGGACCAACCCGGATATTACGGAACTCCATAGAACCGTATCTAGTGACTTAATCACCATCAAATCATGGTGTGACTCAAATCTCCTGTGCCTCAACCTCTCTAAAACCAAAATTTTATCTTACAGAGCTTCGCTCCAATCTGTAGTACTGGATAACAATACCATGGAGGCCGTTGATTTCGTGAAATTCCTGGGGCTTGTTGTTGATAAATCTCTAAAGTGGGACCTGCATATCGACGCCTTAGCAAAGAAATTAAGTTCGGCCTGTTTTGCACTGAGATCTGTTTCCAGGGAGCTTAACTCGGCAACTTGCAGGATGGTATATTATGCTCTTTTTGAGTGGCATTTGCGTTACGCCCTTCCATTCTGGGGCACGTGTTGTGCGTCTCAATTTGAACGCATTTTTAGACTGCAGAAGAGAGCTCTTCGTTATTCTTTGGGACTTGGTAGTAGAACTCACTGCCGGGAATTTTTTATCAAGTCTAGTATATTGACTCTTCCATCTTTATTTATTTTCGAATCCGTCTGCTTAATTCGTAAGCACTTAATATCAGCTATCTCAGAGAGGCCATCTCACAATTATCCACTGAGGAACGCAGAGTTGGATCTTTATCTGCCAATCCCGCGCTCAGAGTTAGTTAAAAGTTCAATACTTTATAATGCTAAAAAGATGCATAATCATCTACCGCCTAACATCAGGTCCATTGCATCTTTTCTCGAATTTCGCAGGGCGTTGAGGGTGTATTTACTGAGGAGAGCCTTGTACACAGTAAGCGAGTTGTTTATGGTTTCCTAATTCTAAATTTTGAGCAGCTTACTCACAGGTTTTGTTTTTGTTCCTGTATCATGATAGGTTATTATAAGTTATTGTTTGTTTGTTTTTTTAGTACCTATAATATGCTTACTCGCACAGTATAAGCAGTTAGACCTAGATGTTTGTTTGTTAGTTTTAATCAAATTTTGACCATGAACTATTTGTTCAAATGTTTGGTTTTGTCTGTGCTTTTGCATTTGTATGTTTTGTTTTTTATTTTTTCAGCTTTGTCCACAAAATTGTAAAATTTTCTGACAATAAAGCAAATTCTTTCTTTCTTTCTTTCAAAGATTACTTTGTTCAAAATCAACATTGTCTTTTTGACTATAAGAAGAAATAGATATATACTATTATGTAGTATAAAGCATAGTGGATATTTACTAAAACTCTAGACACCTAATGTCATGTCTCTCATATTTAGTTATACATGTATTTTTCTTTGACTACAAAAGAGTTAAGTCTAATAAAACGATTATGGTATTGGAATATAAAAGGGATTTGTTCAAAAATAACTATGTGCAATAAAGTGCTTTTGTTGGTAAATATATTAATTATATGAAAATTCCATTACAGATGTGGAATCAAATGTTGTTATTGACGATGCTCCAGTTGCTCTACGTGTCCAGCAGATCGATAGAACCTATAGAAGGGCCGCTATGGTTAAATCGTTTGAACGACATCCTTCAAGAATCGAAACTCACAGAGGAATTTAAAAATTTGGATGGTGACGATAACGATATGCCTATATACTTTAACGACTCAGAGGAAAGTGGTATGTTGTCTTCTACCCTCTGCTCATTTCGCTCATTGAAACTGATCAATTTGGTTGTTTTTCCAGATATAAATATCAAAGAAAAGCGAACATATTTGTCTTCATTGAAATCATCGTCGGGAAAACGTGCGTTATCGATGTTTGCTCGATGGGGTCCGCTCAATACGATTGGCAAAGACCGGAAACCGATTAGAAGTGGATATCCGCCTCAAAGCTTCGATTCGATAAGGTAATCTTATATTTTTAGATTGTCCAGTATTTTAATTAACAAAATTTGTTCCAGTACGCAAACAAGAGGCCGGATGCCCGGCCAACCGCTACGATGGGGCTAATCTACTAAGAAAAAAAAAAAAAAAGACTAAATAAATAGGAAAAATGACACAACATACCAAAAAGGCTTGTTACAACTTTTTGTATAACCATCATTAGACATAATTTTGTGCTTATGTGATCGTCAACTGATGTAAAAATGGATTTTATAATTTAATTCCATTTGAAACTAAACTTCCTTTAAAGCAATAAGTAAGATCTTATTATTCAACATCACTGATGACGATCATAGATTGCGGAGCCCTGCGCATCTTCTATAATTATGTAAATATTATTTGTTCATCGAATTAGAAGATTGGATTGTCCAAGACCACCCTAAATATTATAATCAAATACTTCTTATTAGAATTAGGAATATCAAAAAAAAAAATTATATTATTATAATAATAAATTGCCTGATGTTAAAAAGATTCAATATACTTAAGACAATATACGAATTAATTTTTTTGTGAGTTATTTATTTCATTTAGGTACCTACCTCTAATGGGACTATTGATGTGTGGAGCCGCTCACAGATATAATGATAAATCAATAAATTTTTCAGATAATGCTGGCTGGGAGTTCTACATTATTCTGCTGGTTATGATGCACGTTTATTTAGATCTGAGAGTCCAACCGTCTCTAATACTGGTTCTAACTCGAACTTTGAAAAATTCCAACTTTTTCAAACGCCTTATACAAAAATGAATATTAAAGATTTCATAGACATTTAAAGGCTGTATTTGAATCTGTTTTTAGAAAAAATTAATACACAATTTACAGGGTGTAGGCAATTTTTACACTGCTTTATGAACCACCTAAGTCTTTAAAAGAGGCTCTAAAAAATCTCAAACTATTATCCTTATAATTCAGAAGGCAGGTAATTTAAAATAATTGACTTGGAAAGTTGGTACAGTGCACTTTAAGGCTTCTCCTATTTACTCAAATTAGGTCTGAGATTAAAACTTTGTCATGATTCAATTGGAAATCTTTTCATTCTCTACTCTCCAATAGTAAATCTGAAATTTTGGATTTGAACAATGTTTGTTGCTATTTCTGCAGTATTTTCAAGTGCAAAATTCAAATAAATTAATAAACAATTTGCTGTTCCTCTAAAAGTTCCAATTGCTCTAAAGCATACTTTGAAAAGGAGAGAAGTTTTTTAATTAATTCACCAATAATACCTCCTAAATTGATATAGATACGAAATAAAATAAAAGACATTTTATTGCCCAGCTAAGCCACGGAAATCCTGCTGACATTTTTTATGAAGCCGTAAAGCGAAAATTGCAGTTCGAGCTAAAAGTTTAACTTTAACGACTTGACATACCGTTAATAAAACTCAATAAATCTATTTGCAGCAATCAATATCGCTCTAAGTTTTATCGCAATCACAATAAGCCAATTATTAGTAGAACAAAGCCGAAAATTTTAATTTTAAACTTTGAGGAACGGTCTGGCCTAATTTTATCTCGAAATTACCCAACAAAATGGAAATATTTTATCAATCCCGGCAGGTTAAGGTTTTTGTATGGGTGGATGCACTTTAATCATGGCCGTTATTCTGTTGTGAATCAATAAAGGTTTTGAAAGTTTCAGGTTTGAATTTAAAATGAATGTGCACACTGGCGCGTTTTGGAAATTCAAAACTTGTTTGCTAATCAGGAAAACATTGATTTAACAACAAACAACAGTAATTTTGCCAATGGAATATTTTTGTTCAGAGCTCATCTATCATCATCTATGGTTATCCAGAAATTATTCTGTTTTAATTGTCTTTGATATCGAGCAAACCTTATGAAAACAGCAGCTTTTTACGTTTCAGAAATTTATATTATATAATCAGAATTTTGACAAAATTGAGATGTTATGTAAGAATTGATATTTTGGTAGCGTGAATAATTCTGTCACATCTTAAAATTTCGTGGTAAACTATGCTGGAAAGTGAATTTGATCTGAAGCAGTAAATAACAGTTTTTTGAACCAAAGGCAATCTGAACGAAATCTTCTTTCTTCTCTTCTTGGAGTGGTTATTGAAAAGTGTTATTAGAGACTCAAAATTATTAGGTACCACTCACCACTTTTCTGCTGAAGCTGGAAACACCTTTTTTAACCGCACAAGCCGGCACGTAAGATCTTTCTATGCAACCACCAGTGTTTTAATAGGAATTTATTTATGAGTGAAAAGAAAAGTTAGCGTTAATTATTTTAAAGATAAAAAAATGGTAATGTAGAATATAAAAAAAAAAAAACGAAAGTTACCTTATTTATTTAATGAACCATAAACAATTTTTAATAAAGAAAAATTAAAGACAATTGAAAGAAAAGAGAGTAATTTCCCAATTAAAAGATTTGGTTCCAAATCTGACACTTTATTGAAATTGAAATGAAAAATAAACTATCACCTCTTTGGAGAGCTTTTACTAAAACACCGGGCGGCGGATGAACCAGAGGATGAGAAACGGATCGAGAACTCGTTGAGACTTTGCGACCGGCGATAACTAGTAGTAAAAACTAGTGGCGAATTGGCGATAACTAAAGTTAACTGGCCTCAACAAGCGAAAGAAACCACCCTGTGGGTACCACTTTAGAAGCCCATTGCTACTCCTCAGTACTGGGCTTGCGAGAATCGACAAAGTCAAAGATCTCCAACCCTCTTAGCTTTCAGCGATTCGCTGAAAGTACCCTCTGGCTTCTTGTTGATTTCCCATTGGCTCTTAAGTTTATTCAACCTTCCCCATTCAAACTGCTTCACCCAACAAAGTTAGCTAGTTACATTTTAATTTTAATTGAAAATCTTTCCCTTTTCTAATTACCTAATATGCTTTCTATTCTCATTTCTTAATTTCTTTACTAATTATCAAGGGTGTGAAATGAACTAAACTATCCTCTATTAATTTGATAATAAAAAAATTGAGTAAGCACTCCTATCTTAACCTACCCATATCTTAATTATAACTAAGCAATTGACTAGGTTACAGTTAACATTTCACCCAAGTAATAACCCTTGATAATTATATTGTTATACAATTTGTTATTATATCTTAAAAATCCAGCTCATGTAACTATTGGTTCGCTACACACACACATGCTTCTAATATACAGAATTCTTTTCAGCGGTATCAGTTACCTGACATCTGGGTTAGTCATAAAACGTGGGTATTCAGAAGATTATCCTTGATTTCGAATAAATTATTACAGTTACATGAGATCTAGTTCAGTCGACAGATTAGTTTAAAGTTTAGTGTTTATCTAGGAAAACATACATTTTGCCTATATATTTGTCAATTTCGTCTTACAGCAATAATAATCTTGAAGCTAAAAAATTCTTTACTCTTTTGGCTTTTTAGTGATTATCGAGGGTCGTTCGCAGAACTCCATGTGTTTGTAAATTTCATTAGGGTCACATTTTAACTATCTATAAAAATAAAACTTTTTCCACGGAAGATGAGTTTGAACCGAGAATATGAATTTGCTATTGATTTTGTTACAGAATGAACATGTCATACCTACTAGAAAAATTGTTTCAGTAGTAGGTACCTAATTACCAAACAAAATAACTAATGATACAAACTTTGAAAATGCCTACGTTTCGAAAAATGAAAAGTCCCCAACTTTGTTATTTTTGGTTCTAAAAAACAAAAAGCAAACGAACTTGAAACAGTTAAATCTATAGATTAGTGCAAAAAATGGAGCTCATGGCTTAATGTTAATAAAGGTTTCATTACCCCAAAACCTTTTTTTTCCCCCCAGAAAACCTTATCTTTATTGGGGCGGCTTCAGCTTATCAATTGCTTGAATAATAACCGAAAATTTACGACCCCCCGAGAAAGAAGTAATTAAATTGAAAAACCATTTATGGCAACATATTACTCTATTTAGCAATAAGAGATAACATTTGGTGATTAACACAATTAAGATTTTACGTTGAGATTAACCTCAATATATATTGCGTTGTCTTTAGCTCTCTAATATGTGTAATATCGACTCGTATATGAGTTTGTTGACATCCAAGAAAATATCAGTTCAATTACAGCGCCTTAACCAAACAACCGACCATCGCCATGTGTCGCTCCAATTGTTCGAAGATGGTTTGGCCTAATTACTAGGTTAACACCATGCCTAATTTGCATGCGGAATGGAGGATTTCTAGACTGGAGTGTATTTGCATTTTATTGTTTGTTTTAAGGGAAGATCTAAGTTTAGTTATATAGCTCTACTCCGTTATTCCTTGAATTATTCACACCTGTTGGCGTTGTGACTTTCGAAATTTAATAGGAAGTGTGTAATAATGGGAATAATGAGGAAAGTGCTTCAAAAAAAAATGTAGGTGATGAGAGTAAACAAGGAATTTTATGGGGTTTAATTTTTATGTGATCAGCGATATTCCATTAACTATCTCTATATTTTATTTTAAAAACTGCAGCGGTGATTTAGCTGAACATTTGGAATATTGTGGTGTAGAACGGCCTTCATCCCATCTATGTCAGAAGGTTGAATAGTGTGGAACCGGCCTTCATCCCCTCTATGTCAGAAAGTTGAGGTGTGGAACCGGCCTTCATCCCGTCCATGTCAGAAGATTGAATATTGTGGAACCGGCCTCCATTTCACCCACAGTGTGGAACCGGCTTTCATCCCCTTCATACGAGTTTTCTCGCGTCTCAGATCTTTCAAAACATTTTTCAAAACTGGTTTATGTAATGTCGCCATGACGTCATAATTTCCCGGCGCGCGAAAATGGTTTGAAAACGTGGATTGGATTGTATTTCGAATCGGTTTGAACCAATTTTGACGTGACCTCATGGGTTTATGGCGAGAATGTACTGTTTCAAAACAGTTTCAAAAAAGTGGACGCGAGAAAACGCCTAATGTCAGAAGGTTAAATAGTGTGGAACCGGCCTCCATTTCACCCACAGTGTGGAACCGGCCTTCATCCCCTTTATGTCAGAAGCTTATAAATAGTGTGGAATCGGCTACTATTTCACCCGCGATTCAGTCCAGGAAATTAGTCAAATCTCTTTAGCATTAAATTCATAGTCTAGTCCTTTCAGGAAAAAACTAGCATTCTTCCAAATTCCCTGCAAATTTCTCCAAAGTGTTCGTAGATTTCCTGCAAATGCCTGTTACAAATTCCATAAAAAACCTGAAAATTGTTTGTGATAAGAATAGTTATTATCCTAACAAGTGCAGAAAATTATGCTTTCCCGCACGCGACTGCCGTTGACCCGAACGACGCGTAGCGGAATTCGGGCAATCAGCCAAGGGCGGGAAAGATACTTTATGTATGAGTTAGGATCAAAATTTTTTCTACGAGCGTAGCAGAATAGGGTACAAAGAAAATATGCGGTTTCTCATTAGACATATATTGCACACATTTAAATAATCCACATTTATTTATTATCATAGATATTGACTGTGAAAGAGCA